ACCCCAAAACCCATATCAAACTATGGTCATGGATGCGAGCTTGTCAATCTTTCAATCCATCTAGCATAGAGGAGGTTTCAAATCCCGGCGTCTAGCACTTTTATGATATGCTTGAATGCATCACGTAGAGAGATTTGGCTTGATTGTGATGAGCACTCATAATTATTAGTAGTTACTCGAATGCTGAATCTAAAAGCCAAATATCATTTTCTAGAGAAGCATTTTGACTAGTTATATGAATTGATGAAGGATTTCATGTCGGTCGATAATTGTATGATAGATAACTTTTACGAAACAAAGAAGCTAGTTAAGGATATGGGTTTACTAGTGAGAAAAATCCATTATTGCCGAACGGCTACATGATCTATTAGAAGGAAGACGAGTGAATTAAATAAATATAAGTTACGTCAACATCCTAGATATTAAAGTTGCCATTAAGGATCGACAAGAGAAAAACCTATTGTATTCAAAAAAATGTACTACTTTCCCTTAGCCTCACGTCTGCAGGTAATTGTATGCATCTAATGCTATAGTCGAGCTCATGATGAGACACGCCGAACATGAGGTAGATGATGCTTGAGTAATGCATCATCCCTCTTATTCGATTGCATGGCGAACTTTCAATCGGATTGATCTTCCTTTTGTAGCTACGATAAGAAACGTCAAATTAGGAGTGTGCACCGATGGTTTTCAACCATTAGGTCAATTCGGTGTATAATATTCTTCATGGTCGATCATTGTGACTTCATACAACTTGCTACATTGGATAGGTATGAAGAAGGAATATATTTCCTAACGAGTGATTGTTCCTAACCCAAAATATTCAAAACATAAGTTAGACATTCACTAACAACCTTTCATATTTGAGCTTATTTAGTTATGGGATGTGGGTGTAGTGACCTACGATGTCTATCATAAGTAATAGTAATTAATAGATCATCCAAGAAGCGGTTAGATGTTAATAAATCATCCAATGTAGTAACATATTGGATTTTTAACCTTTAAATAGTAATTACGATAGTTCTAATTAAATATATATTTTATTTATTGTATTAGTAACAAATATCGTAATTTTTTTCTTTATTAATTTGTTACATATAGTAATTAATATCAATTTTCATACATCTTCCAATTGCTCATTGTGTATTTTGATTTTTTTGTATTAGTAGCAAATGATGTATTTTTTTATTAATTTATTTTGATAATATATTTGTTATATTTTATTTATTTGCTAAACCTTAGATCATACAACAATGACTTATGGTTTACGTCGCCCCTCCATAATCAATATAGGATCGTATTTCGCTAATCATGGATGAGCATCACCTACTAATGGTAGTCCACTAACATCCTCTACCGGTATCGATCATGGATCTTCAACTACAAGCCTTTTACATGGGTCCTACGGCTCCTATAGCTATAGAGCTAGCATATCTATAGTGACCACTCGGGATGCCATTATTGTAGTACCAACGATAGATGTTCTCGTATTAGTACCGGGGGCTCCATCGTCGACCTCCGAGAGTGGTCCATCTGCTATCGTATCTAGTCCTCTAGATAGTTTTTGAAGCTACTCCGATAGATGATGTATTTCTATCACTAGAGGATGGTATGTAATTATTTTTTTACTTTATTATATCATTTCAATAATTTTTATGTTTTTTAGTACCTCTTTTTTTTTTTGATATTCGATAGTTTCACTCCGTCGAGTAGAGATTATGTCGCAAGGTTAACTTTGATTTTTAAGGAGCGGTTAGATGTTAATAGATCATCCAAGAAGTCTATCTTTAATATCACTAAACAATACTTTAGTGAATTTAGGATAACGTATTATAAATTTACTTTATAATTAAAATAAATTTTTTCATTCAATAAAGTTGTTAATATTAGTTTTTTGTTTGTGCGGAAATATTTTAATTGGGATTTGACCTTCGAGGCTCTTGTCGGAGCGGCATAAGAGGTCGTGGTAAAAAACACTACACTAACTTCGTCTATAAGTGTAGTTTGTTGATTGATCGACTCGCTTATGTTAGATAAAAGGTATGAGACGTGTGGCGATCAGATTTCACGAGACTCGATTGTATGGCTTATTTAGGATAAGCATCCCAAAATTCATTGTCGGAGATCGATGGCCTACGTACGAGTCCTTCTTGGCATACAATAGGCTCCATATTTGCGAAAGAGCATGGCGATCGCTTGGTAAATTATACACTTTTTATTATTAATTACATATTTTAGAAAATTTCAATTTTCTTCTCGTATTATTTGCAATGCAATTTTTTCAAGAGATAAGATTAGGCCATAAGCCAATGAATTTTGAGTTATTTCGGACGACTCACAAGCGATGAGATGGTTCTTTCATCGATTTGTGTTCCCAACAAATCGTAGTAAAGTGTTTTTCAATTTTAAATTTTATAAATGGAAAGATAATCTAAAATTTATTTTGATCCTATAATGATGATATCATTATTTTAATTATGCAAGAGCGTGTGCAACGACTCATCCATGAGGCGATTCATGATATAGGAGGTGAAAGGAATCCTAAAGCCGAAGTTAACAAGAATGCCATATACCTCAAAGTTATTAAGGAGAAAAAGAAAAGGCTATATTATGTAGGCATACAAGTGATGTATTACTCATCCTAATCGGGTAGTAGTAGCTCCTCCTCTAGGTCTTTGCATTACACTATCGACCTTATTAATGAAGAGCTTCAAAGAAATTACAAGACGACAAAGGAAGCAATGAAAGGCATATATGTGAAACAACACGAGATTCAAAACTCGGTCACAAAGTAGCAAAGCACTATACATAGGCTTCACTCTCGGTATGAGGCGATGGCCTCCTTAGTGATATGATCGGCACGGACAATCGAGGTTATTATAGATCCGTCGACCGGTCGAACTCCATCGTTCCTCCTACGTAGCATCCTACCTACCCTCCCACCTAACCTCTCGTCTAGCCTCCTGTCGAGCCCCCACACAGTATTAGGAGGAAGATAGGGGATTAGACGAGCGGGATGAGTGATAACATATTTTATAACTTTTTTTATATCAAACGTACTACTGAATGTTATTGTTAATATTAATTTATATATTATTACTTGTAATTATCAATTATTACATACAATCTTAATAATTTAAAAACAAACAAACAAACGAAATGTAAAAAAATATTTTTTGGTCCAAAATTAATCGGCGACAAAATAGCAATGGATTTTCAAAAATATCCTTGCCTATAACGATAACATATCAACGGATATCGATAATAATTAGTGATGGAATAAAGACGGTTTAGCGATGATCGAACTTAGCTTCAAATATTAATGACGGCATGCTTGGTCGTTATTCGGTGGTGGATTAACGATGGTTGTCACGATGGGTCTCGTCACCAAAACGACAATGGATATAAATTTAGCGACGAAATTTTGTCGTCGAGATAGCAACGAGCATGGATTTTTCCATCGCTAATTTTAGAGGACAAGTATTTTAGCGACGAATCTAGTTTCCATCATAACTCCATCAATAAGCTACTTTAGTGATGAATTATAGCCAATTAGTGATGAAATAATCCGTCGCTAATTGTGGTTTTTTTGTAATGAAAAGAAAATTTTATGTAACAAGATATTTATATAGGTGATGGAATGTGTTCTCCAACAATCACAAAGCATCAAATCTAGAGGATAGCCACACGTTGATTTGGTAGTGTTGGATTAGACGAGTGAATCGAGCACTTAGGTTTTTAGTGCGGTTGATCATTAACTTTTTGAAAAACGTAAGAGACATAACCTTTTGTGGCAACAAAGACACCCGCATGCGGACAATAACTCGTTCCTTAATCAAAACCATCGATTTCAAAACATCAAGATAAGCTTATTGACCAAACCAAACCAAGAAAGCCAAGAAGAAAGAATGTCGATAATCCTCCCCATTAAGGAAAAATATCACTCAAATTGCCTAAGCCAACATCCTTTAAGTCTAGGCTAGTCAAGCTGGCCAAGACACGTGTCATCTTTGTTAACCCTAAAAGAAAGAGCCCATAAATACGCATAACACCAAATCTATGAAGCCTAACTCAAGCCTATAAGTCACAACAAAGAGTAATAACTAACCAGACAAGCCCAAATTCCCTAAGGGACACCTACCTCTTAGAAGGCAGGCCACTTTTTGGGAAAAGTTTAACAACCCTCTCATCCTGGGGTGCCTCGATCTAGGAAAAAAAGACTTTGTTGCCTCTATTATTGCTAGAAAAGATAAAACATTTAACAAAAATATTATCATTAATGATATCAATCAAATCTCCACTCATCATGATATCACTAATATCATCGTAGATCAAATAAAATGATAGCAAATCACTATCAGCTTTTGGCTTAACCACTCACACCACAAGAAACAAAACAATCATTTCTTGTTCACAATGAAAGTTGACTCATATCTACCTGCATAAAGAACCAAATAACCAAGAGTTTCATGTTCCAATTTCCTAAACATTTTTCTCTCATCTGAAAATATTTTTTTCTCGTCTGAAAATATTTACCTGCAATTAAATATTTTCTCAAAAGAGCTTTCTTATGCCATTTCACCGTCTTTTGACTAATTGATCTTTGGAGGATCTCCCATCCAACTAGAGAAACTTGTTTTGGAAGTGTCATGTGTAAGAAACTTTCAACATTCTGATTGAGTATTAAACCCTCGCTTTACGTGGCTCACATTTATCAATTTTAGTAGACGAGCCTTTCACGATTCGTCAATAATGATAAAATAGATACTGTACATCACTCCATCAAAAGCAAAAGCAAAAACCTCTCATCCATAACTACCAGTCCCTAATTCTTTCACTACTAAAACGCTCGCTATCAACAGTACGTGCTCTTTTGGGTTTCATTTGTTTCACACCATTCCTCTCTCGGCTTTTTCTTAAACTTTCTTTGTTTTACCAAACATTGAGCCAATACTGATAAAGGATATCACTTCCCTTCTATTTTTCTATTTCCAAGTTCGATGCCAATGTTGGGACATGAGATGAAGCTACGGTGGATGGTACTTGTTTTGTTCATGTTGTGTTCTAAGTGGCAACAATATGCTACAGGAGAGCGACTGGTTCCATGCTATTTCATTTTTGGAGACTCGTTGGCCGACAATGGCAATAATAACATGCTCCAAACTCTTGCCAAAGTTGACTATTCCCCATACGGCATTGATTTTCCTAATGGCCCCTCTGGAAGGTTTTGCAATGGGCGAACCGTCGTTGATATAATTGGTACATCATGCAATGACAAAAACATTCTTATAACTAAAATGCTTATCCTTTTCTTCTCTTCTCTTTTTTCGATTGAAGTAATTGCTCTTTAATTTTTTACTTAGTATATTGGTCCCTTTTCTATTTGGTAATTATGTCTACGGTTATCAATAAGTTTTTGAGATCTAGTGATAATTGGTTTTTTTAGCACTTATAAAGAGGTTACCGGTTCACATTCTTTTTGTAGAAATATTTAAACTTCGTAAATATCTCATTAAATCTCTGAATAATTCCTCATTCTTTTCTCATTTTTGTAGTGCAACGCTTTATTTAAAATTAAATATGATCTGAAGGGTATTTTCATATAATATTTACGTTCTAACAGGACTTTTTCTAATTGCAGCTGAAATTTTGGGCTTTCACAAATATATAACACCATTTGCAACTGCTAATGAAGCAGATATACTTGATGGTGTGAACTACGCCTCTGGGGCAGCAGGAATTCGTGACGAAACTGGACAGGAGTTGGTAATATATACGCATTACACATATCAAAATTGTACTAATTATAGATACAAATCTCACAGGAAGAAACAATATTTCAAGATGCCAATATGTATTTTAATTATGGTTGCGGTCCTTGGGGATGCAGGGTGGTCGTATAAGCTTGAATATGCAGCTAAAAAATCACCAAAAAACATTATTGAATTTGATTGGCATGCTAGGAAATGAGTCAGCTCCAAGACACTTGAGCAAGTGCTTATATTCGGTTGGAATGGGCAACAATGACTATCTCAACAACTATTTCTTGCCCCAGTACTTCCCAACAAGCCAAGAGTATACTTTAGACCAGTACACCCAACTTCTTGTCGAGGAATACTCACAACAACTAAGGGTTGGCACTACATTTTTCTTTTAGTTGCTGTCCATTGCTATGAGCTTGAATTTTTTTTTTCTTTTTTTAATTCCTGATCAACTTTCTGTTGTTCCTTCAGACTTTGTATGAGCTAGGAGCAAGGAAAGTAGTTGTATTTGGACTTGGGAAAATAGGGTGCGTACCGGGTGCAATTGATGCATATGGCACAAATGGATCTGGTTGTGTAGAGCTTATAAACAATGCCTCCCAGCTTTTCAATAGCAAACTTCTACCAGTAATTGATCAACTCAATGATGATTTCACGGATGTAAAATTTATATATATAAACAACTATAAGATTGGGGAGGATTCTACTGTTCTTGGTATGTTACATTTCTTAGGCTTTTTTTTTTTTTTTTTTTTTTTAAATTAAAATTCAATTTGGCCATATATATGTACTGACCGAACATCTGTCTTTTATGTTTCTCAGATTTCAAGGTCAATAATAGCGCTTGTTGTCCATCATCTGTCATTGGTCAGTGTGTTCCGGACCAGATTCCATGCCAGGATAGGACCCAGTACATGTTCTGGGACTCTTTTCATCCAACTGAGATTTTTAATATTTTCTATGCAGAAAGATCTTATCGCGCGTTGGACCCTTCATATGCTTATCCATATGATATTAGCCACTTAATTTCGGTTGATCAAGGAGTTGCTGTGGCCAAGTGAACAAGGAAGTTATTAAGAATAAATAAGCTTTGAAGTTTCGTTGTCAAAAATAATTTATATTATAATGTTATTCCCACAAGTTGTGTGCTTTTTATGTGATAAATAAACAAGGTGACCATGTTGTTGTATATCTTATTAGTTTAGTGTCCCTTGTATCTTACATTCTTAGTAAATCGTTTTAGATAAAATTAATCTTTCACTCTCTCTCTTTTATTTTTTTATTTTTTAGAACAAAACAAAATTAATTGTCTGCTTGCACTTTCGTGCAAAATACTTTTAATGTTTTAAAGTTTTTCTTGAAAAATAAGAAATAAATATGCTAGAAGTACCTTTGAATTAGTTGAATCATAAATGAAACAAAATTCTATCAAATTAAATACTTATTGGAGATTTCATTAATATGCATTATTTTCAACACAGTATTTAAAATATATGACCACCGGAATCAAATATTTATTTAAATTACCATTTACTTTTTTCGAATTTCAATCATGATAAAACATTGCGATAGTATTAAAACTCTTCGAATGAAAAGATAAAAATAAAACTCATTCATAGTAAAAAATATGATCTATCTTTGGAAAGCTTTTGGAGTACTTTTAGAGTAATTAATAATATATATATATTACATTTTGAAAGCCTTCGCTACTTGGTAAAACTTATTCAAATAACTTAAGTAATATGTCAAACGATTTAGTGCTCCATTTATTATATACCTTCAAATGGAGCAATTTCACTATGAATGACAATGTGGTCAACTTTGAACAGCCTGGATATAATTTTTGTTGTGCTTCCTACAACAATTTGTCAAAAGACTTGGCTCTATGGTTTGTGTCATCACCCTTAACATCACTATAAGAATCATCTCCCATATAATTCCTTTTAAATTTTTCAAATTTATTTAACATCTCATTAATTCCATCATCCTCTTCATCATCTTTAAGTATCACCCCAATATGAAAGTCATCATTACGGTAACTAGAAAAGTCCTAGATCTAGCATCAAAATTAGAGCATTTTTCATAATAAATCCATCGAGTATAATCCATATCTATCCTTCTAATTAATAGATAATCATAAATCACATTTTGACTATTGACATATAAATTTAAACAATCTATACATGGGCACCAAATTTCATCCTCTCTCCTTAGATTATCTTCCACGAATTTCATAAAAGACTTAACTCCTTCTATATATCCATTGGACCATTTTCTTTCCTTCATCAAGTCTTATCCATTGTTAAATGCCTATCACAAAAGACCAAATGTATACTTCAATAAGTTAATATAGGTATCTCATGATCACCATAAATGGATACAAAGCATACATTGAAACCAAAACATTAAATAATGAAATGGTAGTGCAAAAACAGATGAGTAATGGATAGGAGAGATGAAAAAAAGACACTGTTTAGTTTAGCTTAGGGTAATGAGCTCTCCTCTAGCTATTAATTAGTCTTTTCTTTTTGGCCAATAGGTTTTGCAAGGTAAAGGAAAATAATTAAGCCTATAACTCTACACGGTGTAGATTTTAGAGGTCGAATTGACTAAACAAATAAACTACTTTACCAATCAACAACATTATCATCACTTGTAAATTATGAAAGCTTATTAAGAAAGACCAAAAATGGCAAACTGAATAAAGGAGAAATTCATGCTATCAAACAAATCATGCAAAGTAGACACAAAAATAAAGGAAAGTTCCACATACAAATTGCATAAGAACTTGTAAAGCATGAAATAGAAGCATACCTTAGCTAGCACAGACCTAGGAACCTTTTGATAAGTCAAAGAAAATAGGTGAATTGCATAGGCTTGGATTGCTTGCTTAAAACCTAAATCCATATTTTGACCATAGTATAAGTCAGGCTTTTTATATTAAAATTAAAATTTTTACATTATTTAATATTTTACAACAGATTAAGTCCGGTTTTTGGCATTAAAATAAAATTTGATAACCCACCTAAATCATCACAACTTCTATTTCTTGCCCATTTTTTTTACATATACTAATAATCGATATGATTAATGGGATCACATTACTTGGAGAAAAGGGACTTGTGATATGTCGCTATAGTACGTGTAGACAAGACTAGATTAATGAAGAAAACAAGGATTATGAAAATAGGAGAACATATTTTTATACTCTAGTTTAACCTTCATAAAAATACAAAAACATAAACATTTACAAAGTCCCTTTGGTAATTCCAATGCACACAAATAAGATAGCATAAGTTAATGAAAACTGAACATGAATCCCTAAACCCAAAAAAAAGAATCAAAATTATAAAGGATTCAAACCATAACGAAGTTTGCATATTAAACAATTAAAAAATCTCTTTCTTTGATGTCAAACATTAACACTTATACATCCATCTGCAAAGTCATAACTTACAGTTTCTCCATTTGTCACGGTGACAAATCCACTTGCTTGTCTCCCAATATGACCTATCTTAACTAATATCTGTAAATAAAAAAAAAAAAAACAACAAATTCATCAAAATGACCATAAATTACACAGATAAAATTGATTATTTAAACACAACAACAACGAGCAATCTCAAATAATGGTAACAAAATTAAACTAAAAAAATCAAACATAATTTCGTATTTCAAGGTGATAGATTAACTATTTGAACAAAATTAGCAAAATTGAAAGAATTAGTAGAATTGAACATAGAAAAAACCAATCTTATAGGTAAGTAAGTGCATAAATGGTGCAATTCTAGATTGAAAGATGAGAGAATTAATTTGATTGGAGCAGCAATAAGAAAAAGTCGAGAGATTAGGAAAAGAAAGGGTCGGGAGATTTGGGAAAGAAGAATGAAGAAGAAACTAAAATGGGAGTTTGGCCAACTCTCGCTCCTACCTCACTTTTCCAGAATTAGCACTAGTCATTGAAAAAAAAATTGATTAAGACTAGAGAGTGAAACGAAGTAGATGTCTTTAATAAAATTAGGGTTAATGTTTTATTTTTTTAAAAAAAGTTTAAGTTTCATTGGTTGCAGATGTTTTTGTCCCTAATTCATATTTAACCATCTAGGATGACTTAATTTTGTCCCTAATTTATATTTAACCATGTGGGATGATTTGATTTTTCGTCCCTAATTGATATTTAATCATGTGGAACGACATGGTTTCGTCCCTTATAGATATTTAACTTTTCGGGACCACTTAGTTTTTCATTCCTAATAGATATTTAGCTTTATAGATAAATAAGTTACATCCTTAAATAATTTTAAACTTTAAGACATATAATTTCATCCCAACATATTATAATTCACTTTAAAATAATTTGTTTTTACAAAAGGTGTGCGTAAAAAGCTAGTCATGGGATGAAAAATTGGACGTCAATGATTTGAGGACAAAATATGTATTTCATCAAAAAAATATTTATATTTTGGGACAAAAATGAATTTGTAGGCAAAAATTTCGTAGTTAGATTTGAAATTTGTTGTAGTTTTATTTGTTACAGTATTTAGTCGATTTCAATATAATTATAAATTTCAGGGAGAGGAGGAGGTGAACGTGTTAAATAATAATATATACACAATATTATCAAAGAATAAACAGCACAATATAAACTTAATGATCTTTATTATCATTTTTATTATTTTTTTCTACATAAATGAACATAAGTCTTCAGTTATTTCAATTAAAATAATGATTGATGGTTAAAACAAGTGTGCTTCCTTCCATAAATTTCTGGATTCAAACCTTAGGAACAACATTTCAATAAATTTATTTGAATGTACCAACTCAATGTGGCGAGTGGAGAGTATGCCTTTAAAATTCGATAAAAGACTTAGTTTTCCGGTTGATACACGCAAGTTAGACTAAAAATACGATTATCATTTTATAAAAAAAATTTGAAAATCACTTTTTCATAAAAGACCAATCATTTAAATTGGTTAGATCCATACTCAATCATTTACTATAAAAGTAAATTAGTATGTGTATATATATATACATATATCATTTCCCTTGCAAGTAATATGAAGTAAACAATGCTTATTCCAATGAAGATAACTGAGATGGTGATAGCCAATTGTGGCTCTTTCGATGCCATGTTATTCTACATTTTTTTATATTCCCAAATTAAATTTTCTTTTTGCAAATTTAATTTTCCTATTATATATTTAACTTCTTAACATTTTCTCTTTTCTCATCCAGAATTTTTTAGGGGAAATTGATGCAATTTTATCTGGACCTATATAAAAGATAAAAAAAATGCATTAAAGGGACGGTTCAAAAAATTAAGAGAAGAAATTGATGCATTTTTATTTGGAACTATGTAAGATATATATATATATATATATATAGTAGATTCAAAGTATATTGTATAAATAATTTTTTTTTAAAACATCTAAGTTGTAGATAATATATTAAAGTTAATAAATTGAAATAAAAACTACTACAAAATTGATTCCCATAAATTTTATTTCTCAATTTATTATGAAAGAGATTCTTGAATTGCAAATTAAATTATAAATTAGTTCTTCTTGTTTTGAAAAAAGAATGAATTAATTATTTTGTTTTCAAAAATAAATTTTTTAATTTTTTTAATTAGTGTTGAGCATGAATAATTTATTTTTTATTTTAAAAAATATCTTTTTTTCATATTTTTTTTATTCTTTCTCTATTTCTTAAAACAAAAAATAAAAACACTAAAATAGCAAAAAGGAAAAAAAGATTAGTTTTTGAACCAAAGGGACTAATAGTGTTATATAAGCGGATACATAATTACTTTTCAATATATATATTGTGACCATAGTATATACAAACATTTAAAAAAAAAAAACATCTAAGTTGTATGGAATATATTAAAGTCAATAAATTGAAATAGAAATTACTACAAAATTGGTTTTCATAAATTTTACTTCTTCATCCATGATGAAAGAGATTCCTTAATTGCAAATTAAATTATAAATTGTTTCATCTCGTTTTGAGAAATGAATTAATTAAGTCTTTTGGTTTCAAAAATAAATTATTGTATTTTTTTAATCAGTGTTAACCATGAATAATTTATTTTATATTTTATAAAATGTCTTCTTTTTTATATTTTTATTATTTTTCTCTATTTCTTAAAATAAAAAATAAAAACATTGAAACAGACAAAAAGGATAAAAAATTTAGTTTTTGAACCACATGGACTAATTAATTTTTTTCTCGAAGACAGAGGGACTAATTTATATTCACTTTTGAATAGCAAGTGACTTTGGGTTCCTTGCAAAAAATAAGAACAAAAAAAAAAAAATTAAAAGAAGATAGGAGCATTAAATGCTCAATCTGAAAAAAAAAAAAAAAGAAGAAAATGACAAAAAAGGCCCAAAAATAAAATTAAAAAAAGAATGCCTAAGTTGTATGAAATATATTAAAGTCAATAAATTGAAATAGAAATTACTACAAAATTGGTTTCCATAAATTTTACTTGATCATCCATGATGAAAGAGATTTTTTAATTGCAAATTAAATTATAAATTGTTTCATCTCGTTTTGAGAAATGAATTAATTAAGTCTTTGGGTTTCAAAAATAAATTATTTTATTTTTTTAATCAGTGTTAACTATGAATAATTTATTTTTTATTTTTATAAAATGTCTTCTTTTTTATATTTTTATTATTTTTCTCTATTTCTTAAAACAAAAAATAAAAAACATTGAAACAGCAAAAAGAACAAAAAATTTAGTTTTTGAACCACATGGACTAATTAATTTGTTTCTCGAAGACAGAGGGACTAATTTATATTCACTCTTGAATAGAAAATGACTTTGGCTTCCTTGCAGAAAATAAGAAGAAGACAAAACATTAAAAGAAGATAGGAGCATTAAATGCTCAATCTGAAAAAAAAAAAAAAAGACAAAAAAGGCCCAAAAATAAAGTTAAAAGGAGAATGAGTCAAGAGTAAAAATGAATATTTTCAAATCCATCGAGTGTCAAAAGAGAAATTAATGAAAAGGTAGAGGCGAAAAATCAAACAACACAATGAATAGTGAATCTAAATCTTAAACAATAGTAAATGAATAATAAATTTCTCAGTTCTTTTAGTTTCTTTGCTAATAATATATATTAAATTAAAAATAAAAGATAAAAATTTTATTTAATTTTAAAATTTTTAATCAAATTTTGTATTTCATTCGTGCTTCTTTATGTTTTTCATAAAGTTTGTTTTAAAAAAACATGATTCATTTTTAAATAAAAACATACAATAATATAAATATAAAATTTTTAAAAATATCTAAATATTTTTTTATAAGGCTACATTAGAGAAATATATCAACAATCTATAAATATTTGTATTAAAACTAACTAATGAATCTTTTTAAACTTTTAAAAATATATACATTTGACACACACACACACAAAACAATCAATAATATTATATATAAAAACATGTATTGGAATTATTAGGTGGTTATCTTAAAATATTATTTTATTTAAAATAAATTAAATTTAGAATATTAAAAATAAATAATAGGAAATAGTTGATGGTATATGTGTAAATATAGAATTAATTTTTAATAAAATCAATGATCTCAATATTTTTTGTATACATCATTACATCATTACCATACTTTGTATAAATTAAAAAATATATTTAAAAAATTGAAGTTGTAAGAAATATATTAATGTTAATAGAATGCAAAAAGAAAAAAATAAAAATTTTATTCCAAAAAAAATTGATTATATCAAGAATAAGGTAAATAAACACGTGAATTCTATTATTTATTAAAAAACATATTAAAAATTTATACACAAAGAAAGATAAATTATATTTATTAACAAATAAAATTTTATAAAAAATAAAAGATTTAATTTGATGAAAATTTTTATAATAAACAAAAAAAATTAAGAGATTAATTTTAATTAATAAAAAAATAATCCGATATATATATATATGTTTGTTTTAAAATTTAAAAATATAAGAGGTTAAAAACACTTTTTAAAAATATGAGGAACAAAAAATATATTTTGAAAAAATGTGAGATAAAAATGTATTAAGTTAAAAACATGAAATGTCAAAATATTTTTGAAAATATGAAGATTTAAAAATACATTTGAAAACATAAGGGACCAAAAACAAATGAAATGTAAAATTTGAAAATGAATGTCCGAAAAATTACGAAAATGTCATTGCAAAAAAATCATAAAAGTACCACATTATGAATAGTGAACTAAAGCAAAGGAACAATAAATAAATAGTATTTACTGTTCATTTGCCTCATTTTTTTCTTATTTTTTAGGTAACTTACAACTCTTTGAAGGCAACAAATAATTTGATTTTTAGGTCACACTTTTACATTTTTTTTAAATTATATATTTTTATACAAACCTCAGGTCAAACAGCTTGTACTCTTTAGTTTGAACTCAAGAATGAAAATGCAACATAGCGGGATCAAAGGTTCCTGCTTATACCAGGTATATATGTATCCATGCCTGCAACTGAAATCAGTGCCAAGCAGGGGAGTTTTCCATAGAGCGTGGAAAAATATAAGATACACCACCATTGTTTTTATTATAACATTAAGTAAACTTAAACTACTAACATTAAAACACAAAATTTTAAATTGTATCTCTCTAACTATAAGTTTCTTCACTCAAATATGCAATACTTGTAGATTTCACGAATAATTATCCTTTCTTAACTGTTTATGACTTCTCTTTGATGTAGAAAATTTATAACATACTTCGTCTTTGTAGAACATTTTTATGATTAGATTTTGTTCTTTTAACTTAACAAATTAAGGTTGAATTTCTTCAAAATCACCCAAATTGACGGAGGAAAGATAGGTATTAACCCGCATGTGGAAAAGAACTTGAAAAAGGAAAAGCAATCAGAAATTCGGAATACAAGTACAGAAACTAATGAAACATACTTGTTATTAACAAGAACACATAAATTGTCTTTTATACTCAATAAGTTACGCTTGTGAAGATAATTGAAATGGTAATAACTAAATATGCCTTCATTAATTTTTCCTGATAGAAAAGAGTTCCTAATCTAGGATCCTTTCTATCCCACAGAGGCTGTCAATAAACTTGCAGTTGCAAGGTCATTCCAAGCTGCTGAAACCTTCTGATGCTTATCCGTTTGATGCCAGCAAATTAGTTCTTTAGTAGTTTGGAAACATTGTGTAGATTTACACTGTCTCTGTGTTCGGTTTTCTTTATCAAGGAGTTCACAATTTGAAGCATGTCCATAAATATGTACATTTACCAATTTAATTTAGGGATATAATATAAGTAATCTAGTCTAAAAATTTGTGGACCTATCGGCAACATATCCTTTCCATTTGGTAACCTGAAGCAAATAGATAAATTTGTGGATCTATAGGGATATAATATAATATCGTGTGCATGAATGTAAGTGAGAATCAAAAAGGGTACTGGTTTTTGGTGTTTTCATTTATGGGATGCTAATAAGAAACCATTGATGCACATAATCTAAGCATATCAAGTAGATAACTTTGGGAGTTTTCCACATAACACTTGATCTGGCAATAATAACCAAGTAGAATGCTCAAACAACTGAAATTGAGTCATTGCCAACTAGCATTTCTACAGAATGCTCAAACAACTGCTAATTAGTAATTACTTAAGTTTCCAACTATATTTCTTTAAGATTTCAGAGGGTTTCACCCAAAAGATAGAATAGCAATTTTTTCATTCAAAATATTTGAGCGCACCATATCTGAATTCTGGACTTGGTCGTTTGTACCAGCATTGCAATCAAAACCACCGAATGAAGGTTCAGAGATCAGAGTTATTAGAATTTGGATTTGCTCTCATTGCATTGAGGTTACCATTATCTGCAGAGTTTCTGTTTCGCCTATCATTTGCACTAACCAGTCCACTATGTTCTTTCAACAAAGCATATGGATGGGTACCCTCAAGAATTGCATCTTTCACCTGGTTTGACCACAATCACAGAGAGTAAATGAGGATCAATATCTTAATTTATGTATAAAGGAACTTAACAAAATAAAGAAATCGGCAATTACCTCCTCTAAAGCACATTTAGGCATGGTAGCTCTTTTATGCATAATGAACGAGTGAATATCCCATTTCGATGGCTCTGGTCTGATATCTGATTCAGATATCTAACAATGGCCCGGTTTAATAATAGTGTTTCATGAGATACTGCATTGCATTAAATTTAACTCTTTAACACATCCAAAAATGTTTAGAAAACCAGAAACAGAATCACCTCTTTCAGTATGGATTCGAGTACAAATTCACAGCTCTCTGAGAAGTCAAATATGATTTTTTGTTCTCGACAAGGAACATAATTTGTGATTTCATCACTGCTACCAAACAAATCACCTAAGCATCTCAAAGCAACCATTTCCCTCATGTTTTTCCCCAAATCATCAGGTAATTCAGGAGCCGCATCAATCAAATCTAAAAGAAAAAGAAGGGAAAAAAAAATCCACAAAATACATCATACCCCTCTGAAAACCCATCGAAATTACCCAACCAAACAGCAGCATTTCGATTCAAAACATAAATAAGCATATGAGAATTTGTTAATCCATACCGCGTAAAACGGACATTTCGATATGAGGTAAGCTAGCTAGGTACTCAATGACCCAAATCCATGCAAGTGTTGTTTCCGAACTAGAAGGGTCACCCATCAAAGCCTGCATTCAAAAAAAAAAAAAAAAAACCCTAAATTCAAGACAGTGAACTGAAAGTATGAAACTAGTTGAACAATAATTCCACATAATGGGAATAAAATGATCATAGTGAATGTTTTTAAATTATCGAATGAGCTGATTTCAAAGAATTTGATCCTTAAAAGTGTGAAAGCGTATATAGCAAATAACAAAAATTGAAAAGCAGGGCTAATCTAATACCCTAATGTGTTTGTTTGGCTAAAAGGAAAAAAAGATTTCAACTTTTCTGTTTTCAGTATTGTGGTGTTAATTTTCTAGGGAACCTAACGGGAGAGAAGTGGAAAGGCGAGGGAGAGTGTGAATGTTACCTTCTCAGGAAACAGTGAAACGCAGTTTGGTGTCAATTGCGTTGGGGTACTTGAATTCTACTTGTCACTCACTTTCCCTCTTTTTCTTAATTAAAGTTTTTGTATTTTGCCTTATTAATTCATTTTTGGGAATCGAAATTGAAAACCAGCATCCTTCCTTCCTCCCCCATCCCCCCATCCCCCCCCCCCCCCCCTCTTTTTTTTTTTTTTGGATAAATAAATGAAAACATAATAAGATAAGAATAACTTTTTAAGCATTTATTATAATTTTATTTGGTTGGGTCGAAGAAATTAGGTTGAAATTCAAGACAGCCCTTGAACATTAATGCCCCGCCAAAATATTCATTTTTTTTTCTTGATTGGGCCTGGTTTTTTCTCAGATCAGATCTACCTGGATCTAACCTGATCTAGGATTCGAATTATTGGGCTATAGACTCAACTTATTGGGCTATTTTTAATAATCATTAGATAGTTTTTTTTTTTCAGACTATTTTTTTAGGACCAAACTAAAATTTTATGTTGTTCTATGGATTTAAAAGAATTTAATAAATTCTCGTGAATACAAATTCTAATATTTAAATAAAAAGCCAAAAAATAAAACGAATTTCTTTAATTATCTAGTCAATCTTTTAGAATTTATGTTACTATTATTGTCCTTCCATTTCCCTTGTGTGAACATGAAAAAGAAAGAAAGAAGAGTTAATTATGACTTAAATCATATAGTTGATAAAATTAATTAGTTAATTATTTTTAAATCCATTTACAAAAAAATTATTTTATCATTTATTTGCTCTTTTGATATTTATTTCGTATATTTCTTCTTTGAAAAATGAAAAAAAAAAAGAGAAAGAAACTAATTGCAAATCTTGACGAGGAGAGGAGGTATTTTACAAACAAAAAACTACTAAATTGATAATAATCCTAGTTAAAGGACTGTTTTAATTATTTTTGATGTTATAGGAATAAATAAATTTGTTTTGATAAACTACGAGGACTAACTTATAATTAACTCAAAAGAAGAAGGTCAAAAACTTTCAACAGAGAACGCGGTATCCTTACCAAATCTTCAATGCAATTAACCAACCAATCAGCAACCCCATTGCAGTACGGCGACAGCAAGACAGCCATTTATCTTCTCGTTCTCCATCTCCATTTTCAAAACAAGCACCAACCCATTTCAATTTGAATCTTAATTTACGATTTTTTTTTAGTTACAGTCCAAGTTACATACTTCAGTCTGAACTCTGAAAGCTTGGCTTGGCACATTTGGAAAGAAGTTAGAGAGGTTCAGTTACAGTACAGAACTCTCACTGCTTTTCAAGTTATAAACATTACAATCAGAAAAAGTTGCCAGTAAGTGTCGTTTTGTTATACTTTGGGTTGAATATTGATGGGGGAAAAAATTCAAGAACGTTGTCTGAAAGTAAAAGTAATTACCTTATATAGTTGTGATTGCCCTTTTGTGTTTCTTCTAGTTTAGTTAGCACCTTCAATTTAATGTCTAGTAAAAATGGAAAATGAATTCTAATATCTATATGCTAATTCTAAAATGAAAATGAAGGAAAGAAAGAGTGAATTTTGATATACAGCTTGTTCAGTTTGTTTTCATATCAGTGAAAGACTTTGATTAAGATTGATGTCGATAGGCAAACGTATGACAGTTATCGACTAACAGCACTCATTGCTGAGTGTCTGCCTGAAAGTATTTCTTTTAAAAATTGATGGATTCATGGTCTTTATCAGGGTTTTTGTTGGCCATGTTTTGTTGGCCACGTTTTAGTATCACAGCTTCATGCCTTTGTGTATGTATATTTCTGATCATTTGTGTAATGCTTTGTTTGACAGTATTTCTTTGTTCTGTTCTCGGATGATTGCTTCCACTTCACCTTTATGAACTTTGGGATGAAACGACTGAGGGTATTGTAAGCATGGTGATCAACTGGAATGTATGTAGAATACTTTGAAAGGCAAAAGAACTGCATATGAAAAAAGATCGAATTGATTTTAAGCAAATAATGTAGGTAACATAAGGTTTGGTTGGACGCTCAGTGAAGGATTTCATTGATCCGATATAGAAATCCTGAAATTAAAGTGAAAATTGTATCCATGAAAAGTGGATAATAAAACTTTGGAATTATATAATGAGCTCTTCATTCTGCTCAACACAATCTACTTCTCGCTTTCCACATTCGTCAACATCACTTGTTTTCAATTTATGGCGGATGGTTTTTCTGCTGATGGTGGTATTGAAGTTGCATATTCGGGCTGTTGGGAATCAACAAGTGCCTTGTTATTTCATTTTTGGAGACTCGTTAGCTGACAATGGAAACAATAACTTTCTCTCCACATCTGCTAAGGCCAATTATCCGCCTTATGGGATCGACTTCCCTTCCGGGCCTACAGGAAGATTCTGTAATGGCCGAACCACTACTGATATAATAGGTATTACCTTTGTCTTCCCTGCTATGACAATACTTTTTTGCAATTCAGATTTCTTCATTTTTTATTAATATGCTATTACAGTAGTTTTTCTAATTGGATGCTTTGGCATTTGCAGCCGAACTTTTGGGCTTTGACAATTATATTCCAGCATTTTACAGTGCTAGGGGCACTGACATACTCATAGGTGTGAATTATGCATCTGGTTCAGCTGGAATTCGCAATGAAACTGGGCAGCATTTGGTAATAGATTATACACATTACCTGCACCTTTTGTAAGTAGACAAAGCTAACATGCAAGTAAAAATATTGTCATCAGCAAGTGATTTGGATACAATTTTCCTTGTAGGGTGACCGAATTTGCTTCAACAAGCAATTGCAAAATCACAAAATTATTGTGGAACAAATGGCTAATGTACTTGGAAACAATGAGTCAGCTGCAAGATACCTGACCAAGTGCTTATATTCCATTGGTATGGGCAGTAACGATTATATTAATAATTACTTTTTGCCTGAACATTACCCAATCAGCAGGGAGTATACTCCTGAACAGTATGCCAGAGTTCTTATGGAACAATATTCTCAGCAATTAAGGGTTTGTGCTAAATTTCTTTCTTCTTCTTGATCCATTGGTGACAATTTGTGGGTGCTGTTTTTAATAAACCTTTTTCTGTTAATTTTTTAGACTTTATATGCTACTGGAGCACGGAAAATTGTCCTATTTGGACTAGGACTTATAGGTTGCACTCCAAATGCAATCAACTCATATGGAACAAATGGCTCTTATTGTGTAGACCAGATGAACTATGCATCCAAGCTTTTCAACATCAAGCTTAAATCACTTGTCAACCGACTGAATATTGATCTCGCTGATGCAAAATTCATATATATAGGCAGCCATAGAATGGGGGAAGTGAATGGTTCTGTGACTGGTTAGTTAATCTTAATTTTTTTCCTAGCCATGTTTTCTTATGTTCTTTTAATGTAATGTTCTACCTGCTAATGACATTTTAGCCTGATGCTTCATGCATGTCAGGTTTCAAGGTCCCAAACTCTCCATGCTGTCAAGTAACGGATATTGGTCAGTGTATTCCAAACCGAATTCCATGCCAAAATAGGAATGAGTACAAGTTTTGGGACGCTTTCCATCCAACTGAAGCAGCAAATATATTAACAGCAGTAACAACATACAGCACCTTAAAATCTTCTGATGTATATGCATCTTCTATCCTGCATTCATCTTCTCTTAATCAAGGAGCTGCAGCAACCTAGTTATGGAAGTGCTTAATAAACTTCTACGTTTTATAGACCTCCTATCTGGAGAAAAGAGAGAGTAGAAAAAATAAAAACCCCCACTTTTCATTGATTCACATTGCAGCTTCTTCTCGGCTTGACTGATATAGGTAAGCCTCACACCAAATACTCAACTATCATTTATATAACTACAGCTAAATACAACATCCAATCTGTTTCTTTACACAATGTATTACATCTCATGATAGAATTTACAGAGATGCGTATAGGGAAAATTAGGTTATTCAAATTTAGGCAAGTTCAGTTAGCATCTCATGTCTTTTAAAAGTGAAATTGGAAACCACAAACCATTAACTCTTATCTCTTTAGTGGTCAGGCCAATAAGGGAGGATGAGTGCTGGTGGGAGGAATTTGTGTGGATTGGATGAAATGGGTGAAGACACTGCCTAATGGAATCTGCTAGCCTATGCTATTTTCAAAGTTCAGTATATTACTAGTATGCATATTGACTCATGCGAGGCGATACAGTGCAATTTTTGGAAGAATAAAAGGACTGAAGTCTTGTTAAAACATTGATATACAGTCAACTGTTTTTTTTTCAGAAGTATTTGAATTCTATGTATTTTCTTTTACTTCCTCACAGTGTAATAATGATATACAATCACTTCAGTGCATGAACATAGACATGAATCGCCACAGCTATTGTTTTTGTTATGCTTCAGTAATGGAATAACATTTATTGAACAAAATTTGTGTGGACATGCATTCATCTTGGTTGAGTATGATGATTTTATGTTCTACTTATTTTTCTCTTTTCTCTTGACTAAATTCTTTAACTTTCCTTGTCTTTTGGGTTATTAGGAGGTCTACTGAAAAGAGAAAGGTTCTTGAATCTTTGTGTTCTACTCATGAGGATCAGATTGTGGACAAGTTGGCTGGAGTAATTGATAGAGATAGGTCTGATTGAGGTAAGAGCAAGCATGGTCTCTGACTTGTGAGGTGGGTTAGGTAGTGTGGGAGGTGGTTGGGGTTTCTCCTCCTTTTTTTGCAATGGTTATATCATTTCTTGGAGCTTTAGAGGTGTTATAGGTCATGAGTTGGGAAAAGTTGTTTGGGGTTGGATTGGTATGAAAAACGTTGATTTATTCAGTTTAGTGGAATCTATACTTTTGCTGGTGGATGAACTTGCGGTTGATTTTTTTTTTCTTTTTTTAATTTTTCTATAGCCATGTGGTTCAGGGTTTGAATATTTGAGCTATCTCATCAATCTTTTGCTGTTTTGGTTTTTCATTCTATGCTCCTATATCAATATCAGAGTAAAAGAGTTCTAGAAGGCATCTTAATGGCTTGTAAAGGCAGTTTGTGTAAGACTTGGTATCAGTGATTTTATTGAATTGATATCGAACTCTAATCATTTGCGTGGCTCCATGGTTTCTTGTGCTATTAGGTCTTTTCTTATTGTGTCAGAGTTTGGGAGCTTGTTGAGTTTGCTTTGTGGCAGAGTGTTTTGTTCCATAGCGTTCCTGGCTCTTGTTTTGGTGGTCCGGCTGCTGCTTCCCGTGAAGTTCTATTGCTGCTATCAAGTCTTTGTTCCTTTTTCAGACACTGCCTTTGTTACCTCTAATTGATTTGCTAATTTGTGCTCGGAGGTTTGCCTTTCTCAAAGCTTCTCTTGGCTGCTTCTTGTCAAAGTCTTTTCAGCTGTCTCTTTTCCCTCTGTTTTTTTTTTTGGTTTGACGGTGAGGATATATTTGGACCGGTTTATGTGTCAACCGAGACTAAGTTCCTCTCTGGATGTTTTTAAGGACACACCTTCAACATTGGCTATATGCATTTAGAGAAATTTAATAAATTTTCCTACGTGTTTTGAACCGGAAAGTCAAGAAAAGGAGCAAGCTTCATTAACCACCAAGCCAACTACTAGGGGGTTTTCAGCTGTCTTACAACTTCCCATTATTATTGTGGTTTTGGATGCATGGCTGTCATCTAAGATTAGTTATGATCTCATAGCATGATTCTGCTCTACTGCTGCTGCTGCTTGGTTGTTTTTGGATCTTCAGTTTAGCTGGTTTGCTTTTTTTGTTTCTTTTCTTATTTTGTTCTCTTGTTCTGCATTTTATTCAGTTCCTTGCTCTTGTTCTGTTTCTCTCCAAGTTACTTTTTGTATTTTTTGGTTCTTTTATTGAATTCTTGGCATATCAAAAGATGATGATAATAATAATAATAACAGAGAAAAAAATTCATTCATAGTCTAATCATCTCTTGGGAATTATAAACATGACAAAATAACAATAATTGAACCCCCATGGAATTAGAGGAAAATTTTGATTTCAGTAAGACATAAACCAGACTAATTACTAGAAAAGTATAGATATGAACTGTAGTAGAAAAAATATAAGCATTGACTATATTGGCATCGCATCCATTTAAACATCATTTATCTGTTCTTAAAAAAATAAAAATAAAAAAAACATTAAACTTGAAGTTGACGTACTGTTAAGCAAACTGGACTCGATCGTGCATGATGATGGCATAGCTATCGTTGACATATTCCTGGTGGACTGATCTCCCGTACATTCCTCCCTCTTACCTTCTTTTGTTCAAGTATGTTATTTAATCAGTTAGAATTTGATTTTCTTGTGCTGTCAATATCAAGTTGTCAATTTTTTGGATTTAATTTCTATATATTCCTCACTTTGCTGAGCTATCTTCATTATAAAATAAATTAATCCACACCCTGTCTTAATCTTGTGATTCTTGTGTCACTTTTTTATATACAGAGGTTGTTTCTACAAGTTGTTTGGACCATCTCGTACATTTCTACATCTTCTGTCTCTCTTGCCTATTAATTTTGAACTTCATTTGCTTAAAGTTGATCCCATCTAATTCCCAGTATTATCATCTTTACTTCTTCGTTGATCCTTTTTGTTGATGAGCTGCATGAAAGAACACTCGTTGGCCTTTGTTCTGTTGATTTTTGCATGCTTGAAACATTGTGTTCATGGAGAACCTCAAGTTCCATGTTACTTCATTTTTGGAGATTCATTGGTCGACTCAGGCAACAATAACAACCTTGCTACAGTGGCCAAAGTCAATTACCTACCTTATGGCATTGACTTCCCAGATGGTCCAACAGGAAGGTTCAGTAATGGTCGAACTACAGCTGATATAATTGGTCTCATCTTTTTCCCTTCACTAATTTCTTTCGACTTTAAAGCTTAAAGCATGCACGTTCATCAAGACTGCTTTGAAAGATCAGGAGCTTGTTGCAATGGCCCATTTTTGCATTTGAACAACATATATAGTTCAAGATGGGGATCAACAATAGCTAGTTAGCTAGTTATATATCTCTCTTTTGTTTTTGTTTTTTTAATTGTACGAGAAATCATCCTAATCACATAGAAACAATTTCTTGATATAGGTGAACTTCTTGGGTTTAGAAATTTTACCCCTTCGTTTCTGACTGCCAGTGGCTCAAACATACTCAAAGGGGTAAATTATGCATCTGGTTCAGCTGGAATTCGAGACGAAACTGGGAAGCAACTGGTAATTTGCTTACATCCATGCACGTCTATATCTTCAGAAACTTTAGATAAATTATTCTGTGGGAAGATGTGAACAATAAAAAATAAAAAATTTATGTTTGTAGGGTATCAATATCGAATTAAACAAGCAGCTGCAAAATCACCAAGTTATCATCTCACGCATAGTTGATATGCTAGGAAATGAGTCAGCTACAAAACACCTGAGTAAGTGTTTATACTCGTTTGTTATCGGCAGCAACGACTACTTAAACAACTACTTCATGCCCAAATACTACAATACAAGCAGTCAATTCACTCCAGAGCAATATGCAACAGTTCTTATTAAACAATATTCTCAACAAATTAAGGTTAGTCGTCACATATGTAGCAAATTGTACTTGTTGTCTTTCGTTTATTCATTATATTCAAGTTAAACACTTTTGTGTGTCCGTGTGTGTGTTTAGTCTTTGTACAATTCTGGAGCTAGGATGGTAGCCTTGACTGGAATCGGACCGATAGGCTGCACCCCCCATGCTATTGATTCCTATGGAACAAATGGCTCGTTGTGTGTTGACTACATGAATGATGCAGTAAATCATTTTAACAATCAGCTTCAATCACTTGTAAATCAATTCAACAAGGATCTAGTAGATGCAAAGTTTATATACTTGAACACCTATGGAATTCTCTCATCAGAATATCCTGCTTCTCCTGGTATAGTACCCCGAATTCACAATGTTCTGTGTTGTTGAATTTATTGATATTGTAGTCATACTGTGTGGAGATGATTAACAGGAAAATTATTTAAATTTGGGATGCGGTTCTCAGATTTTCAGATTAAAATCAGTGGCTGCTGTGAAGTAAACGAGTATGGTCAGTGCAATCCTGGTGAAGACCCATGTTTCCTCAGGACGTTGTATGTGTTCTGGGATTCATTCCATCCTACAGAAACTGCAAACAAGATCGGTGGAGGAAAATCATACCTAGCTTTGAAGAAGATCATAAAAAGCTTTTGAAACATACACCATGTCACCAAAACTTCACTTGGATCCAAACAATAAATATTACACGACTTGGATGAGAAAAAGTTCCACCACTCGTATTACATGAGGGGCTGCTATTTATGAGAAGAAATTTCAGATTCATTCTATCCGATTTTTGTTGGACTAGTTGTATATCTTTTTTGCATATAAGTTGTTTCTTTTTCACTTGGCTTATCTAACTTCCAGGTAACCAATTGAAGATCCTTCCCCCAATATTTATAACCAATTTTCAGAATATCCCACCATCAACAATACACAAATTTATGTTGTTTCCATCTTTCATTCTCATCTGCACATCTCTCCCTGAAAGACCGAAACTAGTACATTACCATTATGATCAGTAAAGCAAGTGATTCATTTTGAGCTTCTACGTTACTCTAGCCACTACATAATTATTAATAATATCTTTTCAAAGATCTAGTTTTGTTTTTTAAGCAATATTTATCTATTAGTAATATTTTGTTGACCTGCCTCTTAAGTTTACGATTTGCCAGCTTGTATGTGCAACCATTCAATAATTGTATATATATATATATATTTTTTTAACTTAGTTTACTCTTTCTATCTTTTATGTTTCCATTAATTTTTAATCTCCAAACTTAAAATTTATTGCGTAATAAGGAGTGCGGGAGAAAACTGCAAATTACCATGGCGTTTTTATTGGTGGTAGTTACGATTTTGTGGATGGAGAGTCAATATGAAGGTCCAATTATAAGCATGAGAGAAGACAATATGTTTTTTTTTAAAAAAAAAACAATAAGGGTGTTTCCAGATCAGTTTTTGTCCATATCGAGACTAATTCTTTTTTAAACATAGATAAAGAACACTTCTCAATATATAGCTTCGGATATTTTGAGAATAAATTTTTAAAAATGTTGACTGCAAAGATCGAATTCTAAACTTGATCTATAAGTTGACGCTTATTTTTTAGCGAATTATCATCTTACGGTTAAGATATTATTATTTTTAATAGGTTGCAAATGCAATAGGAAGGTCCTACTATGGTTTTTCTTTTTCTTGTTAGAAATTCAAAGGCATAGTTAATAGCATGCACCCGGTGCATCGATCGGCTTGAATAAGTCGCATCTAACTCTAAACACCTTATATATTTTATTTAATTAGAAAATCAAAATCTTTGAATAACATGTGATTATTGTGTCAATGTATTTTAGGATGTTTGTTGTTACAATATATCATGGGTATTAGCATTTTTTTTATATATAATAGAGTTGCTTACAATTTACTTTCTCTATATATATATTAGACATTTTAGTTTTCATTCTTTCTCACATCCCCCTCTTTTCTATCCCTTTTCTCGGTTCATACTTTCCTTGCTTTGTGTGATTTTTCGTTTCATATGTACTTTTTTCTACATGTAGTTCTCATTTTCTAAATTTCTTAATTATAACATTACCATTCTAACCGGTAAAGCAAGTGATTCATTTTGAGCTTCTACGTTACTCTAGCCACTACATAATTATTAATATTTTTTCAAAGATCTAATTTTTTTTTAAGGCAATATTTATCTGTTACTAAAATTTTGTTGGCCAACCTCTTAAGTTTATGATTTGCCAGCTTTTATGTGCAACCATTCAATATTTGTATTTTTTTTTAAAAAAAATTTAATTTACTTTTTATATGATACGAGTCTTTCACTTGCACTGACCAGATTCAACAAGCACAATATGCTTATTATTCAGTTTTTTTTTTTTTTCTTTTTTATGATATTTTTCCTGTAAATTTCATCAAGCACACTCGATACCAATGCTACTCTCATTATGTAGCTAGTGCAAAGCTTATAAGTTTTTGGATGAACCACAAGGTAAATAAATAAATTATTATTTTAAAAAATCAAAACACAATAAAAAAAAATGAATTGAATTAAAAGTTTCTATGAATGAACCTAAAATATGTAGGGCAAAATGTATTTTTAAAATCGTTTGAATATGATATTTAGTTTTAATTCACACATAAACTGATTCGATGATACTATATATCATCAAATAAATACATATTAGATATTGCAAGGAATTTTCTTTTTTTTCAATAGAAAGATAAGAGGTATTGGATTATAGATTTTTGTATTTGCCAGCTTAAGTTTATGATTTGCCAGCTTGTATGTGCAACCATTCAATATTTGTATTTGTTTTTTCTTAAAAAAAAAACTTAGTTTACTCTTTCTATCTTTCATGTTTCCATTAATTTTTAATCTCCAAACAAATAGATAAATATTTTTTTCGACGTTACTCTAGACATGAGATGATTAACAGGAAAATTATTTATTTTTGGATGCCGTTCTCAGATTTACAGATTAAAATCAGTGGCTCCTGTGAAGTTAATGAGTATGGTCAGTGCATTACTGGTGAAGACCCATGTTTCTAGGTTAACCTAAGATTTTTTTTTCCCTCTTTTATCATTAATCAGGCCCAACATAATACCTATTACCTAGCCCAATACTATTTTTTTTTTTTTTTATGAGAGTAAAATAGGGAGATGACAATTCTAAGAATAAATTTTCAAAAATACTAGCTATAAAAATCAAATCTTGGACCTAATTTATAAATGAATATTTGTTTATCAGTAGAATACTATCTTATGGTTAAAACATCATTATTTTTAATAGGTTGCAAATGCAATATGAAGATATAACTATGGTTTTTCCTTTTTCTTATTAGAAATCCAAAGACAGTTGATAAACTGCTTATATTTTTTATTAATTAGCAAATCAAAACTTTTCAATAACACATGTGATTATTGTGTCAATGTATTTTAGGATGTTTGTTGTTACAATATATATATATACATATATATATGACATTTTAGTTTTCATTTCTTTCTCACATCCCCCTCTTTTCTCTCCCTTTTCTCGGTTCATACTTTCCTTGCTTTGTGTAATTTTTCTTTTCATGTGTTCTTCTTTTACATGTAGTTCTCATTTTCTCAATTTCTTAAATTGCCATGGCTAGTATAATGAAACTATATTTACTTATACTTCTTCTATTAGTTGTTTCAAAACTGAAACATGATGTTGATGGAAAATCAGAAGTGCCTTGCTTTTTCATTTTTGGAGATTCAATGGTTGATAGTGGCAACAACAACTATCTTAAGACAAAGGCCAAAGTGAACTATCAACCATATGGGATTGACTTTCCTGATGGTCCAACGGGAAGGTTTAGCAATGGTCGAACTGTGGCTGATGTGCTTGGTCTGGCCTCTTCATCTGCTTACTTTTTTCTTTTTTTCATTATTAGTACATATTATAGTTTAACACAAATTATCAATTAAATAAATTCTAAGAATAACTTTTAATCTAAATTGTTTTTCTTTTAAGCTCTTAGGCACATGTATAAATTCTGCACTTAACTTTAGATCATTAATTATTGACAGTCCTTTCTTTTATTCTTTCATATTAGCATATATTAAAGGCATGGGTGGATGAATTTCTTGGAAGCTACTATACCTATTTTATATGACTTTTTAATCCATTTCATGTACAAGGTTTTGGATCGTCAAAGGCAGAATCTTTTCTATTTCTTTTCAATTTGAGAGGTGTAAACTCATTATATTTAGGAGGAATATTTGATAAGTTTTAATCTATTAGATACATAAACTAAATGCAATTTGTACGTTGTTATGCAAGTAGATCTTTCTTCGTTGTTGTTATTATTATTATTATTATTTTTAATTATTTCGAAAGATAGATGTGGATTTCATTGATGAAATTCAAATTGATAGGCTTGGCTTCTTATAATGAAATTTCTTTTTTTTTTTTCTTTTTCCTGCTTAACTAATAGATATTAAATGATGATCATGAAGCTAATTTTTTCATCACAGGTGACCTTTTGGGTTTCAAAAGTTTCATTAAATCTTTTCCAACGGCAAACGGTTCGCAAATACTCAAAGGCGTCAACTATGCATCTGGCTATGCTGGAATTCGAAATGAAACGGGAAAACATATGGTAATTACTAGTTAAATTTATTTTATGCAATTTAAAAAAATTTATATATAACAAAATGTTCATGGTGACTAGAAAAAGAAGTTCTTCTTCTTCTTCTTCTTCTTCTTCCATTTTTCCAGGGTGTTCTTATTTCTTTCGAACAACAATTACAACATCACCAAATTACAGTCTCTCGCATTCGTCGCATACTAGGAAATAACCATTCCAACTACCTAAATGAGTGCTTGTATTTATCAGTGATTGGCCATAACGATTATATTAACAACTATTTTCTTCCAAAGCATTACAATACAAGTCACCATTATACCCCAAAACAATATGCTGACGTTCTTGTTGAAGAATATGCTCAACACATGAAGGTTAGCAGTATATATATATAACTCAATATTATTACTGAGTGTCTAATTGATCTAATTAACTTTAATAAATTAATTTTTCTACTACTTATTCAGACTTTGCATGGTTTTGGAGCCAGAAAGATGGCTGTAATTGGAGCTGGACCAATAGGTTGCACCCCAAATGCCACTGCTTACTATGGCACAAATGGCTCTATTTGTGTAGAAGAATTGAATCATGCAGCGATTCTCTTTAATAACCGGCTTAAATTACTTGTCCACGATTTAAATACCAAACTAACTGGAGCAAAGTTCATCTATTTGGAGTTTTATAAAATTATATGGAAATATGTCACAACTCCAGGTAAAAGTGTTTTTTTATTCTATAACTTGTATACATGATTCACATATTTCTTAAATTCTTTTTAATGGTTGTTTTTAGAATAATGGATGTTGTGGTTTTCTGATCTCAAGGTACGAGTGGCTTAATCACGAGTTGTTGTCGAGTAAACGATTATGGTCTATGCATTCCTTCTAAACGTCCATGCCTTAATAGGAATTTGGCATTGTTCTGGGATTCCTTTCATCCGTCTGAATTTTTGAACTTAATCATTGGAATGATCGCATACGGTGTTTTGAAGACGATATTATAAAGCTTTGGAGTGATTTGCCATGCTGTAACGTAGAGATCATATGCAACACAATATGACTACGTACTTCAATTGCGATGAAGGAATTCGACTTGGAAACGTACGTAGAAAATTTCATAATGGTAGTTGTATATCTCTCTCTCTCTCTTTTTTTTTAAATTATAATGTATGCTAAATACAAGAAGAAAAGAAAAGTAAGCTAATTAATAATTAATCGTTCAAATTTGAAAGGAAATTGCAATTGTAAAATGTGAAATTAAAAGCAAATGGAGGATGTGAAACTATGATGTTACTTTATTTGAACTTGTCCCATGCATGGTTAATTTAATTAGTGGTTGAAACTTTCTCTCAATTGATGAGAGATTGAGAGTCTAAATTAACTAGCTAGTGATCCCATCTCCTCCTCGATTGTTTTCCTTTAATGGAAATTACTGTAAAAAAATAATAACGCAGAGTTGTTTTTTGAAAGAATTCTCTCTATATATAGTTGAATTAATTCAAAGAAACAAATTAAGTTTACATAATTTAAAACTGAAAAAAGAAGACTGGCCAGATCGAGTACATTTTCCATTATAACACATTATTCCTCTCTAGTAGAGTCGGCATACTTTGCTAGTTTGTGGGCTACCATGTTGCCTTCTCTGTCCATATGAGAAAAACAACGCTGATGAAAGTGGCCGGTACTAGGCAATGAATGTCTTCAATTATCATACCCAAGGTACGTAATTAGAAGAGTCGACTTTCTAGAAATACCTTGGTGTAGCTACATACAATTTTCATAATATACAGTACTTGTTAGTTTGTTGATTAAAGGTGAAATAAATTTTGCTTCATACTTCATCAAATCAATTTATTTTGCTTAATTGATCAAATTATCACTTACATGTGTTAGAAAATAATATGAATCATATCTTCGTATATCATTTAAAAACTTAAACTTTGAATGAGATGGTTTTGACATGATATCAAAACTTCAAAGAAGCAATTATGGATCCTAGAACCCAAATCACTTCACGGACCTCAAAAAACAGATCATAAGTAAGGAGCTCAAGTCACTCACCATAAGATTTAAGTTTTTTAGATAGAACTCAATTTTAGCTATTTAACTTTATATGATATCAAAAGCTTGACAACCAAATGATCATGAGTTTGAATCTCACTATCCCGATTTCTTTTCTAATTAATTAAGCATAAAGTAGTATGAGTCCGTACAAACTTCAAGCCCAAAAGATTTTCACTTGAAAGAATATGTTAAAATAGCCACACCTAAAACCTTTTGACAACATGATGGTAAAATTTTATTTTTAGGTACAACAAAAAATATGCCCCATTTGCCTCAAAATATACATAAGACTCATGAACATCACATAATGTAAGTATTTGTGCCTCTAATTCTTTTACTAAATATCTGAGTGTAAGTAATTTAGGATGGTTCTTATATATATTCGATTATGATGAGTTGAACTCAAACTCTCTTTCATGTATGAACTTGCCAATAACATGTAATTCTTGTTTTTGTATTGTTTTTTTTTTTTTTTAAAAAAAAAAAAAAAAAAAAAAAAACACCGAGGTTACCAATATTGTTGCTTGACATTTTTTTTTTTTTTTTGAGAAATCTAGCTAAATATATCGATCTATACTTGAAATGCAAGAAATTTACTTCACTTAAAAAAAAAAAAAAAAGAATCAGGAGGTTTTACAATTCTTGGAAGTTTAATAGAAAATCTATCAATTCACATTTTTTTTAAGCATATAGCTCAATGCTTCCCCGTAAGAACTTTATTAAAGATATGCCTAAGGCCTTAATTCCATTCCATGGACCATTTAACTAAGTTTTGAAAGCTTTTGTCGGCAAGAGAAAATCGATGGCAGTCCAATGGTTGCTAGAAATTAAGAGTGATTATAAGTTATAAGTCTTCCAAACTATAGTTGAAGACACCGTTCGTGGGAGGAAAGCATCTTTTGAGAGACGTAAAATTCACATTCGTTATTATAACCTGCTTTTTTACTATTATTATAATTATCAAGTATTGTTTTGAATGTTTTACTATCACAATTGATGTTAAAGGTATGATACATTAATTAAAAAAATGATTTAGTGAATATTTTTTCAACCAAGCTTAGAAAGTTAGTGAACATTATAAACAAGATTGCCCATCACGACTTTTTTTAATAGATTAAAATTTAAGATCTAATTTCTTTAATTATAATGTAACGGAGAAAACTATCTCTTATTAGATAGTTTAAGATCTAATGAATTCTAAATTAAAAAAAAAAAAACGATTATGTAAAATTTAGTATGCATGGATCATAATGTTCACTTGTTAAAAAGAAATAACAAAGAGTTATTTGTTGACTTTATCTATTCTTTTCTATAAGAATTTGAGAATTATTCAACAAAATTATTAATTTGGTATACTTCAGCCAAAAAGGTTATATATACTTGTTTGAGCTCTTCCGAACAAATTAAAGAGTGTCTTAATTAGTTTTGATTTCTCTTATTTTTGTAATTATTTTTTTCTAGATACAAGTACATTAGATTTACCGAGTGGCTCTTTTCAAAATTAAGATACGATCTAGAGATGGTAATTTGTCCTACCCCAATGGAGCCTCGCCCCACCCCATTTCGTCTCGGTCAACACAAGGATTCCATGCATTGATCGAGTAACGGGGCGAGGCACCCCGTGAATGGGGATTGCCCCATTTATCCCATTTCATGATTTTCATTTCTAAAATTATAATTATACTCTATATAAAATTTGTGATTAGTAACTTTTAGTATTTATTTTATATATGAATAATCATTTTTTTGCTATAGTTTGAAATTTGATAGTAGAATGAGGTAAGACGAGGTAAAACAAATTTTAGTAATTTTTTTACCTTATTTGCCTTGCTAGTGCTCCATGGAGATTCCCGTTCCTGTTTGATATGGGGATGGTATGACAAATTTTACTCTGTTTAGGCCACGGGGTAAAATTTTTAGAGGCGGGCCGAAGATTGGGATAGCGATCCCCATCCTTAATCTAGTCTTTAGATTAGGTTGATTTTCCTTCTTCTTTTTTTGTTCTTTCAACTTCCAATAAAACCATCTTTAGTGTAATAACTCATTTTTTACCCCCACTCGTGTTTATTTTCATACAAATTAAAAAGAAAAACCTAAAATGTTGCATAGTTTGTTTTTTTTCATGATTTTTAAGTGTTTTTATAATTTTTTAGGATTATAATTTTTTATGATTAGTCCCCATTTTTAATTAAAAAATAATAACAATAATAATTAAGAAGATGATTTGGTATCCAATTGAAAATGATGTGAAAAACGATGACCAAGTGACATTCAATTAGAGATATAATTGGACAGGTATAAAAATAATAAAAAAACTTAATTGAGAATTAATCGGTGTGAAATTAAAAAAATCAAGAGAGTATGGATTAAGTAATTTCATTTGATGAGATAATTGGAGAAAAATAACAAAATATACATTGAAATTGATAAAAAAAAATCAACGAAGGACCAAGGTTGATTTTATCTCAAATACTAAAAAATCTCAATATAAATACCTTTTCACTTCATTTTTTAGGAGAGCCACTATTATTCCTCCTATCCCAAAAACCTAATTTATTAATTAGAGTGCATGCTAGTTTATTGATCATCATAATTTATTGCTAGCTTATTGATCATCATAATCTATTGCTAGCTACGTATTGAAGTTTGTATATTTGTTTGTCTAAACTTGCTTGTGGTAGTAACTATGGGTTAATGATTATAAATATATTTTTATTTATTCTCTTGGAAAACATAGAATTAGATTACATCTTTCTAGCATCTAGAAAGATGGTTTAACTTCACCTATCTTTCTTTATTTGATTATGTTATTGGATTAAATCTAACTAACATCTACTAGGTTATTCGAGTAGTTAGGGATTAATTAAATAACGTATGTTTGGTTAACGAATCAGTAAGAAAACATTGAAGACAACATATATATTGTTGTCATATGATGAATATGCATGTTAAGAATAGGTTAATATTTAAATCAATGGTTAATGATTAAACCAAAAGTGGATACTAAACTTCAAACAAGGCTTTTCCTCCTTATTGTCAATTCTATTTACTTTTGATTGCTTAAAAATCTCCACATACATAAACTCTCCCTTTTACTTCCTTTGCAATACATAACAATCAATCGATAGAAACCATTAATTAGGCCAATTCTCTATGGGTTCGACCCTTGCTTTCCCTTTCTACACCTATATGGTTGGGTTTCGTAAGGAAAATATAAATAAATACAATTTATTAGTGGTAAGATATGTCATCAAATTTTAGTGCCGCTATCATGTAATCTAGTTATATGTTTTCCAAGACATTAAATGAAAATGCATTTATAATCGTTAACTCATAGTTACTACCACATGTAAGTTTAGACATGTAATTACATAGACTTGAATACTTAGCTGGCAATAGGTTATGATGATTAATAAACTAGCATGCATTCTAATCAATACACTTGGTATTCTCAACAGTTTGGCTCTTAATATGACCTACAATCCGAGAGATTTGAAGCGATAAAATTATTTGTTATTGAACAATAGATTTTTAACATAACCTCTCTAGTGTGTCAAATAGTTTTAAGATATGTGCAACAAGTCCATAATTATGGTATATGTTTGATGACAAGGCATTCATCCAATAGGTGTCCAATGCTTCGGGAAGAACATATTAATGTGTATTATGCAATAAGAGGACTTTTAGAATATCCATAATACCAACATGACCCCTAAATCAGCATTTGCACTAGTTATGAAAATCAAATGGTTGGCAATATAATTCACAATTGTCAAAGATATCAACAAGTGCAACCACCATTCCAAACTCCAAACTAGACAATTAGTTACTTTAAATTTAGGTATATTTCTTGAGGATATTGTCGGTTCCTTATGACCGATACTATGTAATTTCAACAAGAAACAAGAGTAAGCCTTCAAAATTTAGAGACTCGAGTGAG